TTGCGGTGTGAGGATTATTACAATTCGTCCGTGTAAACATGAGAATTATTGCAGGATATCGGTATAAACTTGGACATTTCAATTAACGATAGGGAAATTTAAAGCGCAACTTAGGAACCTAGGCGTTAAACACCCGGCTGAGTCTTGGAATATTTATGCCGAGGATTAGAAAGAGCTAACGAAGGACGCTACTTAAACACTTAATCGGTACTCACTGTTCCGCCGCTGAGTTTAATTTAATCTGTTTTCACGGCGCCCGGGGACGTTCCTGTAGGGTCTGCAGGGGAGCGGCTAACGACGGTGCATCTCCGCCGGTAGTTAATGAGAGTACTTAACGGAAGTACACTTTGCGTACTTAACCAAAGTGCCGGGATCGCCGATGCCTTTCTCCCGCGAGAGGGGGGATACTCGTTCGCCCGTAAACAGACTCGGGATCCGTTTTCCGTCGAGAAACTCGCCGGGTGAATGTCGATTGCGGATTAGTCGGGCCGAAACGCAATTGCCAATCGACAATCGATTGTTCCCAGCCCCGGTGAATTTCGATCCCACGGTTAATTACCGCCCGTTTATCCGACCGATTTACAACCTCCCGGTGTAAACCTTGAACGTTATTTTCGTAAGTTCGCGGAAATAAAATTCAACTAAAAAAGGGTATCTCTTGCAACGAGACAAATCAAGTTTTACTGAACTTCGGGCGGTTTTAAGGTGTTATAATAATGCCATTTATGTATACTCCTAATTACCGTTTACATAGAATTTTTCTCGGAAATAATTGCAGGAAAATTCCATGTTATTTGTCCGTAGAAAAGATTCGAAAGAACCCGGATAATATTGCGTGATTTTTGGTAACGAAACCACGTACAATTATGTAAGAGAAACGGTAAATGGAATATAAAATTATGGAGTTAAGGTATGTGTACATACCAGGAGGGACGCGGCGAAGAGAACCAAGATGGCCGCCGTTCTTCCGAGGTGAACGGTTGAAATCTCGGATTTGCTTCTTTGCCAATTTTTAGGGTCCTCGTAGCTGCAGTTGTATTTGTAGGAATGTCGTTTGCTTCTCGTGGGTGCACAACGCAAGATGGCCGCCACAGTCGCCTCGTCTCGGATTTAACTTTACGCTCCACCTCTTTACTCCTAGATCCATGAAGTACTATAAGGAGACAGAATGCCTGTGGTGGTCTCCCCGGAAATACCACCTCTCCATCGTACTCGAGGTCCGGGATTTATTAACCCTAAACCCAGTAAATCCGAGATTAAGTGTCCACCGAGACGCTCGGGCTCGAATATGCGTATTTATTAATATATAAATAATAATATAAAATGGGATTTACTGGATCCGAGTCGATAAATCCCGGATTTAGGACGGTGGAGACGTGGCCATAGACTATCGCGGGGAATAGAATGGCCGTTAATTCCACTTGTTTCTCGCAGACGATCACATCTTCCTCCGTCGGTAAGGCAGACCGCGACGAAGAAGCCTCGCAGCCTTAATCCTCAGGCTGGGATCCACTTAAAAAAGAGTTTGTCTTCGAGCCACCGACCGGGACTAGTCTACTCGCAGGGGCGAGATAGAGATCGATTAAGAGAGAGAGATGCCGGCGGGGTGGTGGAGAAAGAGAGAACGAGGGTCGCATAAAATAACCTCGTATTGAAGCCAATGAATATGTACAGCGAATGATCCATAGTTTATACTTAAGTCTAGCGGATATAGCCGACCGTGGGTGAAAACTCTCCGTCGCGGTAAGACCCATTAAGGTGATATGAAAGGGCGATTCTCTATATATATATGTATCAAACGTCAAAATATTTATAAAACTCTCCAAATGAAGTGCATCGAAATCGTTTGGAACTTCAGCACGTGATTATGGACGCCCTAAGGAAGAACGTGATACTATAATATTAATTTCTGATATATATATTTTTTTTATTTACCCCGGAGTAAAACCAGAAATACATATATGTATATTCTTTTTTTCTTTATGAAATTTCACGACCTTCTTCTTCCTTAGGGCCTTCAACTTTCAAGTTATTCGGTGCACCCAAGTTTTATAAATATTTTGACGTTTTATAGGTATAGAATGGCCCTTTCATGTCACCTTAAGGCGGTATGAAAGTGGCTCTTCGGGTCGCTTATGACACTTTTTTTTTTAAATGTGTGGCATCGAATCGCAGAGAAATTTTACCACTTCGATATTAAGGCTCTAAGGAAGGTTCGGGCACCCTTCGGATTCCTTTTTTTGGTAAATTTGTTTATAGGCGTTCTTTTAATTTCTTGTAAATCAATTCATTTCACGAGGGCCGAGACCTGCCTTAGGACCTCCACGTTTATGTTGACAAATTTTCAAACGATTTAAAGGACATCCAGTTATGGGAAATGATTCATAAACGATTAGTTTCTCGGATAGCCACTTTCTTATCGCCTTAAGGTCTTCGCAGATACCTCTAAAGGTTGTTACACACGTAACGATCAATCCTATATATTTATCATATCTGTGGCTGAATTCGAAACCCTGTTAAAATAATATTGCAATTTTATAAAATTTCTTGTAATCGTTACGTATTAATTTCCCCCGAGAATTTATTCGCGAAGGCCTTAAAGCGGTTCGGGTCTCGCAATTAATCTCGCAATTAGTCTCGTAATTAGTCTCGCAGTTTGCCTTAGGCGAATTTTCTCGCGGATAAGCGAAAAGTGCTCGCAGAGTTTAGTGGAATTATCTCGGGGACAAAGTAAGGTAATTATCAGCGATAACGAAACGTTCGGTCCATGGAGAGATAAGAAATTGTACGAAAAAAATATACATTGTTGCAAAAAAAATTAAAATACCTCCAAAGGAATGTCAATAAGGAGTAAACGAAGTTCAAAGCCACGGTATCATTTTTCATCCAAACGAAATAATTGTTTCTAGCAATTAAACATGATTCGGACAATGACATACGTGTCAACAATGTGTATTTTTTTCCGTCAACTGATCTTTTTTTCTCAGGGTGAAAGAAGGAAAATCGGCAAAAATCAGGGCAGGAAGGACCCCATTGTTGTTCGGTTAGCTTGGTTATCACTCGGAGCTTTTTTATTTACAGTTCTTTAGAAATCTTTGCAGTACGGGCGAACAAAAGGGGTCGTTTAATTACCTTACTTTGCCCCAATTGTTTGTCGCTCCTCCCCGGGACTCGAATTGTTAAGTAGACAATCGTAAAAAATTTGTAGGTCTAGCAGATTAAGGTGGAGTTGCAATAATTGTCTCGCGTTAGACTGAGAGGAATTTTCACATCTCGCTCTGAGGATTATTGCGTTATATCATGTATGGATAATTTTATATGAATTATTTTTTACCGAGCTAATGACTAACGAGAACTGAACAAAATTAATCGACGCGTGAGTTTAGTTTAATTGCATTTTCACTGCACTGAGTAACCGGAGACACGACAATTGCAACTAGTGTCATCAGATACCTTTTGCAGGCAATTGTTGCCGGTGTCGAAACTCCCGTGAAATTGGCCCGCAATTTGTTTAGAAAAATATTGACTGTGAATGTTCGCGTCGGGAGAGGGTTAATGAAAAAAGGCAAAAAAAAAAAATCCCCGTCCGTTTTGTCCCGCTTGCGGTGCTTATCGTGAAAATGCATCCTCAAATTGCACCGAAATTGCAAAATTATGTTGAACAGGAGTTAATGAGAAGAAAAAGTTCATTCTCGATTCCATTCTAATTTTCGGTGGTCATTGTGAAAGTGCGTTGAAAAATGAAGAAAAGTTTTTGAATTCGCGCCAATTGCGGGAACCAAGATGGCGGCCGGCCTCGAGGAGGAGCGGAAACACCGTTTCCAAAGACACGGACAACGACAAAGGAAAAGCGAGTATTAGCGACGCCCATCGTCCGGTTTATTCGACGATACTTAATTAAACGGACTATCGAGCACGAGAGTCTTCGGAAGCGGTTTGAGGTTAGGGACCAGAATCGGGACTCGAAGGGAGCAGGTACGAGCCAGGTGTGGGTTTGTCTAAGGACGTCGATCCGACATGCTCCTGCCTTACGCTAAATCATGCCTAACTAACCGAACTATTAGTTACTTAAGGTGGCCGCACAAGTAACGATAAATCGTAGCGACCTGTGATCCGTTAAGTGCGAGTCCATCAACATAATCCACGCGTCAATGAAATCTGTATACATAAGTTAGCACATTTTTAGTCTCACCGATTCGTCGTTAGGTCTAAAACTGCCTTAAAGGCGTCGACGCAACGACAAATCGTGGCGATCTGCACCCTGTGCAGTTAAACCGCCGTTATTCAACGGCGTAAACGCGTCCTCCAGTCCCTTAAACCTGTACAAATCGAATTACACGGTCGTACCGCGACAACTTATCGCCACCTGTGCATCAGCCTTAAAGGTGTCTACACAACGACAAATCGCGGCGTTCCGGAATTCCCGCACTTAAGGCGATGTCAAAGAGTTTATAAAACTTCTCGAACTGGATGTATCGAATCCTTTCAAACCTGACAATATAAATGTAGGCTATAAAAGGAAGGTCCTAACGCCCATAAAAATTCAATTAAAAAAAAAATTCGTTTATAGACATTTCCAAAATTGTTTATAAAAAATGATATTTCATGAGGGTGAGACCCTTCTCCTCATAGCCTCCACGTTCACATCGTGAAGTTCGAAAGGATTCGATACCCCTAGATACCAGAAAAGTATCACGATAGACTTTTCATAAGTGACTTTCACATCCCCTTAAAGCAGCGTGAACGGAAAATCCATCCAGTAATCCCAGTCAGATCGCCCCGATTTATCGTTCCGTCTTCCCCGCAACGATCAATAACCAATTCCAAAACGACCGAAGGTCCCCCCTCGGGGTGATCGTCCGTTCGTTTCGAACGCTCCATATATATATATATGTAAAAAAAAAAAAACAAACCACGAAAAACGTCCAAGTCCGTGCAAAGCGGCGCCAAGTCCATGGGGGGGCACCGTGGCCCTTAGTCGCCGGCGAGGGGACCTACGGCTATTGCGACGCCGGAGGCTGCGGGTTCGGCGGCGGGGGCGGCGGCGGGGGAGGCTGCGGGTGCACCTGGTGAGGCAGCAGACTGTGGGCCTGCACGTGGCCCGGGTGGTGGTGGTGGTGGTGCTGGTGGTGGTGGGAGTAGAAGATCGGCTGGTGGCCGGTGGTGGGGGAACAGCCCGTGCCTACCCCCACTCCGACTCCCACGGAGTGGGAGAGGGAGGCGGTCGGCGGGGGCGGCGGCGGGCCCGATGCCGAGACGGGCCCCGAGCCTGTCCCCACCGCCGACCCTGCCGACGCCTCGTGGTAGAGGATCGGCACGCGTACCAGACGCTGAGCGGCGTGCGCCATGCTCGTAGCTTCTATCTCCGCCGCCAGTTGGCGCTTCCACTTGTTCCTACGGTTCTGGAACCAGATCTTCACCTGTGTCTCCGTGAGCCTGAGCGACGCCGCCAACCCGGCGCGCTCCGCCGAGGAGAGGTACCGCTTCACGTCGAAGGTGCTCTCCAGCTGGAACACCTGCGACCTTGAGAAGACCGTCCGGGTCTTTTTCTTCCGCTTTATGCTCCCGGAGTCCCGCCCGTCGCCGCCGACCTGCACCCCGCTCTGACCGCCTCCCGGACCGTGCAGGCCGCCCGCGCCCTCCGACTCCCCCTCGGCGTCCCCACCGTCCTCCTGGTCCACCAGGTCGTCGTGCGCCTCGTCGCCGCTGGAGGGACTGCGCTCGCGGCCTCGCTGAAGACGGTCCTCACCCCCGTTCTCGTCGTCCGGGTCCTCTGCGGGGAAAATTAGCCACCTTATTCTCGGACCTCGCTGTAACGCCTCCTTAGGATTTCTTTTTCTTTCTCTCACCTTTAAGGGGATGCGATAGCGGCATCTGAGGTATCTATTGTTTAGGACGTTTTTCATCAAATCGTTTTAAACTTTTCATTATGAATACCGGGGCTGTAGGAAAGGTCTCGACACCCTTAAAAATCAATTTTTTAAAGAAATTTCTTTATAGACATTTTTTGATTTTTCGTGAAAAATCAAATTTCATGACTGTCAAGACCTTCCTCGTAGCCTCCGTATTCATGATGTGAAGTTTCAAACGATCTGGTACACCTTGTTCGGAGAAAAGTTTCATAAACGATGAACCCTTAGATGTCGCTTTGACATCCCCTTAAGGTGACATAAAAATCCAAGGGGCTCCACTCATCCAACCCATCCTCCTAAATAATCTCTCGACGTGCATAATGAAATAAGCATAATGAAAAGGAAACAATTAGGAAGTATCAACAATTACTCGGAATGATTTTCATAACATCGAGCTAAACTCGAAAGGGCTTCGGTGCGCCCTTCGCGGGGAATTACAAAATCGGGGGAGAAAAAAAAATGCAATACGCCAATTGTAAAATGAGAAGCGCGAAATGGATCAGCCGGAAATGCTCTTGGGGCTATTATGAATAATTTCGTTCCTGGTATGCATTTGCACAAATGCATCCAATTAAACGAAAAACATTATGATCCGCGCCGCAGCGGGGATCCAATTGCGTTTAATTACCTAATGAATATCGAAATAATTGGCGCGATACGCCGGGGTACTGAACATTTCAGTATGTGCAAATTGATCGAGTGCCCCCCCCCTTCTCCCCTCTATCCCCCAATCCCCGATTTGTACGTAACGAGTCATGCCAGTGCGCTCAATCAAAAACTCAACTTCCGCCTCCTCTCAACAATGGGGACTCCATATTGGAAATTTCCGCGGTAATTAAATTATACTTTCGATCAAACTTTCCGCATTGTAAAATCCCTCCTGGCTTTATTCATAGAGACGAGCAGAATCGGGCGATCAAGCCCCGATAAAATTGTCCTTGAAAGTGATAGTACATCGAGGAAAAAAAAAAGGGAAATTAATTCAAACATGTCGAAGAAATGTTTCTTTGAGCTGTGCATTGGAGTATAATGTTGATTAAAGGAATTTCACTTGAATTAACCTCAAATCAATTCCGTCATTATTCCGAAGGAAGGTCCAATTTATTCCCCTTTATTCCAGTGAAATTAATTATAAATAAAATATTAATTGACGTTATATTTCTTCGGTTTATTTACGTTTATGTATGTGAATTATTCCGAGGAAGAATTAATTTTTTGGTGGATGGGCTGATGAGCGTCTTTGAGACCTGCTCCATTTTGCGGGTGTAATGTGTAATTGTAGTAAGTACGCTCGGGAAAAATACCGCTTTAGGTGAATATTTTACAGTAAATTATTTTGTATTATTTTACAGTAAATTATTTTATGTTATACATATTATTTTATAAGGACTTTGTCATTAGACGGTCCGCTATTACGCGTGTGCCCGACGCGCCTAGACACGTGTGCGTACTTCTGTAGTTAGATAGTAAGTACTTAGGCGAGGTGGCAAGAGCAAAACGATCGACGGGTAAGGCGATCGACGTTGGTTTGTCGTGGCGGAAGCCGTGGAAGCCTTACTCGTCGTCGAACACGCGGACACACCCTCGCCTCGTCGAGTTCACCAGCCCTATCAGGTCCTAGGACGATCCTTAGTAGGTTCTACCCTATCCTCGAACGAATTCGTCCGAGTTGATTCCACTTGAAACCGTTCAACAAGAAATAATAAATCTGTTCAAAAAGTTAGGTTAAGGTGGTGTCCTCCGAAATCCTGGGAAAAATGCCTCGCGATATCGTCCGAGAATTGTCTTTCGAGTCACCCTTAAAAACGCCGTAAAATGTACAGCTGAGACAATGGAAGATTAAAAATGATAAATTAAAAAAGCTAAGACTAGGTTAGGGTCTCTCTGAGAATTATCCACTTTAAACCGTTCAACAAGAAATAATAAATCTGTTCAAAAAGTTAGGTTAAGGTGGTGTCCTTCGAAATTCTGGGAAAAATGCCTCGCGATATCGTCCGAGAATTGTCTTTCGAGTCACCCTTAAAAACGCCCTAAAATGTACAGCTGAGACAATGGAAGATTAAAAATGATAAATTAAAAAAGCTAAGACTAGGTTAGGGTCTCTCTGAGAATTATCCAATGAAATAAGTGAGGTTAAGCCTGATGGGGTGGGGATAGAAAATTTAATCCGAGAACGTTAGGGACCTTTTGGCGTGGGGGTTTGGGATTAATGTGTATCGAGAATGCGATAACCGTGATAATTCGCTGTAGCGAATGGCTTGGAATGTTTCGAATACTTGGAGCGTTAATCGACGCAACTTGCGGGTATTCCTTAAGGGGGATCCCTAGGCAAGTTACTGAGGGCGGTTTTCGCGGGATTATGGAGTACCGAGAACCGATAAAGCCACCCCGCTTCAAGAGCCTTCTCCTCCAATCGGTTCGCCAGAAAACCTTCCCCCAGAGTATCGGTGACACTCTTCGTCTGATTTCCCATCGATTTTTTAACCCTCCCGACGGACAAAGAACAAAGACTTCCGGTCTTCGGGGAAAAGTCGTCAACCCTGTCTACTGGAAGACTGATAAAAAAAAAGAAAGAACCCACAATAGGGGATAATCCAGGTCAACCTATGATATGAAAGGGTCATGCTAAATATATACATAAACCGTAAAATTTTGATTTTAGTCAAGGCTAAATAAAAAAAAAAATTAAATTTCACTAGCATCGGGTTTTTCCCTAGGGCCTTCATAACCACGTGTCGAGGTGTCAAATGATTAGGTGCATCCAGGCTGGAGAAAAGTCATATAAATATTTTCACGTTTATGTGTATAGCATGACTCTTTCATATCACCTTAAAGTCGCCATTTTGTCCAGATAATAAGAGGGATGAGAAAAAATGGAGGACGCATGAATAACCGCGTTTCACTAGGACTCACCCCTTTGAGGGAATGTGGCGGATCCAGGGCTAACCCTGCTGAGGGAGCCAACCACGTCGGTGGCCGAAGGGTGCTCCAGGGTCTGCAGGGTGTGCGCCGGCCTCCAGGGGAAGGGCCAGCCCGTGCTCCCGGGGATGACGCCCCTCATCGCCTCGGCGGCCTCCGAGATGTCCGTCTGCGTGCTGAGGGCCGAGGACGCCGTCGCGGAGCGAGAGTGGTGCTGGTGTTGGTGCTGGTGGAGGTGCTGCAGGGTGGACGGGAAAAATACTCCGCCCACCCCGATGCCTACGGGGTACCGACCAGCGATCAGGGACGACATCAGGCCCAACCTGGAAGTGAAGAATTAATCTTGTTCAAGTCAAATATAAGGACTGTTATAAATATAAAATATAATTAATAAAATTCTGTCTTAAAGAAATTCTATACCTTAGAGAGACATTGTTCTTCTATGAGAGATCCAAAGCTGGGAGGTGAAGGATAAGGGACCGACGAAAACCACACAACAAGACTCATAAGGACAACATCCCGAAAAGTCACCAGAACCGGCGTCAACGGTTAGAGAAATCAATTTTGGTTTGTTATGAGGAGTCTACATTTTGGAGGAGAAGGATAAAGGACCAATGAAGACCACAACAAGAAGACTCATAAGGACAACACCCCAAAATGATCACCAGGACCTAGATCAAGCGTCTTTCCCACATCTTCCTCGGCTCTTTTGGCGCAAAAGCCAGCGGAATAAGTGGCGGTCGGCTCGTTTCGAGACAGGCGAGCTAAAAAAAAGTAGTTGGCCAGCACGTATCCATACAGGAAGAGGCTTCGGAAGCCCTACGAAGTCCCCCGCGTGTTCCTGGCTCCGGTCGACGCGAACGGGAGTCGAACCCGAAGAGGTTGGTTCTCCTCCTCGAGAGCTCCCGTTTCCCGGACTCGTCCTCCGGGTTATCGGCTTGCAGTCCTCCCTAGGGGGAGATGCTCTTCTTCCAGGAGACGGGGAAAACAAATTAAGAGGTTTATTTTTCCCTTCCTCGAAGACGCCGCCGACACGCTGGGGGAAGGGAAGAGGGGCTGGAAAAAAACGCCTCGCAGATGCCCCACAGGAGATAAAGGAAATCTGACAACCGGCTGTTTGTAAGCGTCTTCCCAGGTATGGACACCAAACAGGGACCCGGGACTGCTCCTTTCGCGGGATCGCGATCCTGCGGGACCTCCGGCTCCTTTACGGGACGCTACTCTGGAATCCTACACCAAGGATCCGCTGCCAGGAAAATAGGACGAAGAATGGACCTCAAGTGCGACCAAAACTGATTCCTATTCTCGAAAAAAATTCCCAAGAATTCTCAAACGCTTCCCTGGTCTGGAATTACCCGGAAGACGTTTAAAGGACGATTTATAAAATGATCGTTTGAAAGGACGAAGGAGTGATTTTTAAAATTAACGAGAGAATGCCTAATAAATGGAAAAAAATTAGTGAAACCTTGAATCTCTATTTTGTGGAGTAAGAAAGTATCGCTTAAGAACCGTGTATGAGAAACAAAAGGATTCTTGTAGTGGACAAGGACAAGTTTTACTTCCAATTCGGCAAGGTAGTAAACAGCGTTTCGTAATTCCTTTCGAGCCGAGTAAATCTAATCTCCTTGGCCGTTTGTTTGCAAGCAGCCAGACCTCGAGATGGAAAACAAGCCTCCATTAAAGTGCCCCCTTTCGCAGCCCTACTTTAAGGGATTATTGGCTAGGAAGGATTTTGCGGTAGGTGGGCCCTCAAGAACGCCCTTAAATGCTCCATTTTCGGGCCCACTTCGCCCTCTGTGTCGCGATTTCCATCTCGGATTAAGGGAAGAGGACATCCAAGTATTCGAGGAAACAATTAGACGGCTTACTCCTAGAGGAATACTCCAACAAACGGATTTACTCGGAGATTGTGCGCCAACTAATCCTGCCAAGTATTCCATTCCCAAAAAGGTCCTCCCCAAAGCAAGAAGATATGAAAAAATTCCGGGAAATTTCTCTACACCGAGAAGGGAAAGAGTAATCAGGCTAAGTGATTATTCCTTGAATTAAGGATAACATTTCTTTGGTTCAGTAACTATTCCTTTTCTCGGGGCAGCTTCTCTCAATAGCGCACCGACTCGGTCATGTAATTGCAAATCAAATCTGCAACCTCTCTCCACGGTTCAATTGGATCGGGTTAAATTCTACATCGGAATTAGCTACATTTAATTCGATCAACCGGATAGAAATCTGATTCGAGCGAGTTGGATTTCGAAGCGATCAAATTGTTCTAGAAGGGGTTAAGTAAATATATTAAAAATTAGAATCCTTCGTCAAGGGAATATTAATGAATGATGAGTTTTGGCGAGTCTTGTCGATACTTGTTACTCTTCTTATCAAGGATTTCCCGGGCCTTATCGAGGGCTGTTCCCGAGAGAAAGCGGCCTTAAAGCTTGCAAGAGTGATTTCGAGAGGGTTGGTTTCAATGGCGATTATTATTCGGCATCCTCTCCCTTCTGGCGGCCGATGAGCCATTGTAATCCCTTCATATCACTCTTTGCGCTACCCTAACGATCGACCGTTTTCACGTGCGTACACGTTACGTATATACACGCGTCGCCTCGTCGTTAGTCGCCGTCATAGAGACGCACCCGGTTGCATCGCTTGTTTACGCGCACCTCCACCCCGTAGAAACCCTAGAGAAAGAGGAAAACTCATTCTTCCCTCCTGCGCCACCCTTTCCTCGGCTCCACTAATGCCAATTCCAACGAGGAACTTCTCGCCGCCATTTTCACCCATTTGCAGCCGTTTTTAGCCGCTTACTGCCGCCCCGAGGAGGGAGACTACCGCTTCGCAGCCCTTTCGCCCAGCATCGGCGGGCGATTTCCGAATAAATGGAGGGTGTTGGAGAAAAATCACTGGAATAAAAGTTATAGAGAACGGCGCCCCGGAAAACATTCGTTTGGGACAATTTTCTATATCGGGAGTATATACGGAGATAGAGCCTCTTTTATCCCGCACAGTTGTCGAGGGCTCCGCGCGCTGCGTCGGTTCTGCATACACCCATTCTCGGGTAATTTCTGGGTTAATGAAGGGTGCTGCAGAAAAATCATTAGGACAACAGTTTTAGAGGGTGATATTTTGGGAAACTTTTCCTGGAAACAATTTTCTATATCGCGAGGATTTGCGGAGGTAGAGTTGTTTTTTCATGTTCTTTCGGATATAGACATGCAAGACGGGTGGCCCGTCCGCGGCCGTCATCGGAGGTAACTCCATTTTCTCGGTCCCCTTGCCGCGCCTCGACGATTCATCGATCCGACAAAGTGTAACGTCGATGGTACCTTAAAGTGTCATTACGATGACCCAACAATAAGTTATTGGCTTTCAAGGGAGCACGAGTAAATCCTCTGGTTGGCTTCGCCGTGCAGCGGGCTCTTACGGGCCAAGTGGAGGGCTTACTCTTGCGCTTGTATCGCGCGAATCGATGACTCGAGCCAATCATCGAGGAATCGAGGCCAACCCATTACCGGCCTCGCAATTGTATACATCGTAAACTACTCGTGAAAAAAAATAGAAACATGCGAAATAACCGCCGAAATTAATTTTTACGTGCGTCGCGTAAAAATTAAAAATACTCGACGCACCGTGATCATTTATCGAAAATCCCCCACGTGGTGGAGGCACCTGATTACACGAATAGGATCGACTGTTGCGTTCCTATCGAGCGCGAGTCGATGATTCGGCCGAATGACGGTTCAGTCCGGGATTTCGAAAATCGAATGGGGGGTCCTCCCCCCCGAAAGAAATTAACCGCGCGTACAAATTGGAGCAGCAAATGCGGACGCGCGGCCATTCAGCAGCGGATCCATTACGATCCGCCGCGATCCGCGGAACTATTGTCCGAAGTTAAATCATTCTCGCCTCTTTGTGGAAATTTTCAATCGCGGCGTTCCAGTTTCCCCCCTCGAAGGCGCCATTTTGCCGGACCAAGACTCCTGACCTCGCTTTCCCTTGGAGCCGCTTTATCAGTTATCGGGGAATAAAATTACACAAATCGTTTGCAATCATGAATTAACATAAAAATGATGAATTCTACACGATAAGATATAAAGATATTGTATTTTGTTGGACCAAGACTCCTAATCTTACTTTCCCCTGGAGCCGACGGCACACCCTCGCGACTTTTTCAGATTTATCAGCTATCGGGGAATAAAATTACACAAATCGTTTGCAATCATGAATTAACATAAAAATGATGAATTCTACACGATAAGATATAAAGATATTGTATTTTGCTGGACCAAGACTCCTAATCTTACTTTCCCCTGGAGCCGACGGCACACCCTCGCGACTTTTTCAGATTTACCAGCTATCGGGGAATAAAATTACACAAATCGTTTGCAATCACGAATTAACATAAAAATGATGAATTCTGCACGATAAGATATAAAGATATTGTATTTTGCTGGATGAAAACTCCTAATCTTACTTTCCCACACCCTCGCGACTTTTTCAGATTTACCAGCTATCGGGGAATAAAATTACACAAATCGTTTGCAATCACGAATTAACATAAAAATGATGAATTCTACACGACAGAATATAAATATACTCTGATTTGTCAATTTTAAGCTTCCCATCTCAGTTTCGCCATTTTCGGTTCTAACCTCACTTTTTGAAGTGGATGAGGAAGATTCTTCACTCAGTCAGGATTGACATAAGTTTTTGACTTAGTGATTAATCGAGATTTAAGATGACTCGAGTATTGTCCTGGTATTTTTAGGAATTAAAATGAATACTCGAGTGTTTATTTCTTTAGGGGGCTATTGGGGTCAAAATCGAAGTACTTCCTCTTAAATTCGAAGTCCTCCTTAAGTGCTGGCCCAATCGATAGCAAGCGCCGGATGCACTTTGCGATCGGCCAGACTGGCAGATTAGCGGTGTTTAAATTTTAATAGAAAGCGATTCGAGATGCTACGGCCAGGGCGGTCGTAATAATTAATCGCCACCTACTCGGTAATAATTAATCACGGGAAAAAAATCCTTAGGAAACCAAATCCAGATCTGTACGATAAATCTGAGGTTCCCGTAGGCCCAGAAATTAACGTCCTTAATTAATCCACTATGATCCAAGTGATAAAAACGATAAATTAAAATTTAACCCGGTAATAATTAATCCCATGAGATCGCAACCGAGTCCTAAACTTAGGTCAATCTGGTCTCCTCAACCATTGAATATCCTAAAAGATCAATGTTATACTGAAAAATTATAGAAGAACTAATAACGTTTCTAAGTTTCAAGGACCATCAGAGTCTAGTGTCCTTAAAGTAAGACGCGCTTTAA